CTGAAGAACACCAGGACCCTGCACTCCTTGCTCACTGCCATAGAGAGTGAGGGTCCCACCAAGAGATGTGGCCAGACAGTTGCAAATTTTAATTGCTGTTGAAATTGTTCCACAGAAACACACTGTAAGTTACTGTGGAGTAAAAGTTAAAGGGCATTATAATTAGTAAAACACCTAGCAAAATTTGGATTGTGTAACATTTGAAGGATAGACACCATTTTATGACTTTGAGGCTGCTTTTGTAATTTATAGCTTCCTTTTGAATAATGCTTGTGCTGTAACCCTTCATCCACTTGTTCTTTAAAAATGTGTAAGACATCCTGTGAGCCATTCTTTCCCAGACACTGAGGGGGACGGGCCTCAGGGTAGCAGCTCAAGTGGTCACCAACTCTGCATTCACGGCACGTGACGCCATGACTCACCTAACTCCCGGCCACACGGCCTGTCGCCCTGCCCCTGGCAGCACGTGTGAGTTGGGGCAGGAGAGAGTTGTGGGGGTATTAGGAGCACAAGACCCCAAAGAAGGGAACAGAACCCTGCAGAGACCCCCAGTTTTCCCAAATGGGCAGAAAATCGAAAGGATCATCTTGGGTGGGCCCAGGAACGTATGTCTTACCTCTCACTCCCACAACATGTGCAGCTGAATGGGATTTTGTGTTTTTGTTTCTGTTTTGCTTTCAAATCAGAGTGATTTTCTCAGTAATTGTCATTACTTCAAAAACTCCTTAATAGCATTTTGCTGTTAAGTTTTCAGATCTAAATGGTGAGTTGTGAAATCAGTGGTTTGGAGAATAATGAAAATCTTTTTCATACAGAAAGCATCTCTATATAAACATTACTTATTGTTTGCTATGTATTCAAGGGAGGGAGGGTTGAAATGCACTATTTTGGCTTTTGCCACCAGACATTTGATGTTAATAATCTCAAGGACATTACTTTCCACGTGTTAAGATGTTTGTTGCTTTTTCACTCGATAAATAAGCCAGGATCAAAGAAAATTTAAAAACCTGCAACTGAATTAAGTGTGTAACCCTAAATTTTTGTTAGGTTTCTTAGCCTAGTCTTTGATTGGCCAGACCACGCTTTCTTCACTTTGGGATTGTAGAAACGTGACTGGGAGGAAGCCCGCGAGGACCAGCAGTGGTGGTGATGGAGTTCTCTCTGGTGCTCAGAATTAAGCGTCCTTCTTCAGGCTCAGTGCAGTACAGAATGGGGAGCATTCGCTCTTGCATCAGTCTGATATTTGTAGGCAGCAGAAATGGATAAGGCATTTCTCGAACTGCCAAGGATAAAATTGAAATGAATGATTTTTAGCTGGTGACTTGAAGTACATATGAGCTGGTGACTTGAAGTACATATGTATTAGTTTGTGTGTGTGTCTTGGGCCTCAGATATCCTTCTCTGTGGAATGTAGGTTTCAATCCCTTATGTTGGCAGGGTCATTTGAAAAGTAAATGAATACAGAATATCTGAGTCCCCACCATGGTGCTCAGCACATGACAGGTACTCAGTCATTGACTGTTCTTAACTTCTACGCAAGGCCCTCTTCCACATGGCGCTCCCCAAGACTTGCTATCTTTTCCCCTCTCCTTTTCCTGGACTGCTGGGTTCTCAGAAAGTTCCATACATCACTGCTGCCTCTTCCTCAGAACTCAGTCCCCCCACTAAGCTCTTACAGGGTGGTTTCTACCCCTACCACTCTCAACACCACTGGTAATTCACTGGCTGCTAAATCCAATATCACTTTCCCAGCCTTCCACTCCACAGCAGCATTTCATATAATTGGGCACCTTTCCCTGCTTGAAACTTCCTCCTCCCTTAACTCTGTATTCTCCCAAGTTTCCTCCTCCTCTTTTGAAGACTCCTTGTTCTTTCACCTCTCCCTCTAGCTGTCCAAGAGGGTGTGAGGACCTCGAGTGTTATATTTTATATTTATGAGTGTTATATTTTATTCCTGATATTTCTTCAAAGTACACTGGGCTAAATGAGGTAGTATATTAGTTTTCTATTGCTGCTGTAGCAAATTACAAGGTACTTAGTGTCTTGTAACAACAGAAATGTATTAGCTGACAGGGCTGGAGATCAGAAGTCCACAAGGAGCTTGACACCCTCTCCCAGGAGAGGCCTGAGTTGTGAGTGCATTTCTTAGCCCTGCAGTGTCCAATAGTGCCGGCCACACGTGGCCATGGACCATTTGACACACGGTCAATCTGAACTGAGATGTGCTGTAAGTTGTAAAAGGTACACCAGGTCTCAAAGACTTAGTACAGAAAAACAATGTAAAATACCTCATTAATAATTTTCATATTGATTACATGTTGAAATGATAATATTTTAGATATATTGGGTTAAATGAAATATATTATTAAAATTTCGTGTGTCTCTTTTTGCTTTTTTTGTGTAGCTACCTAGGCAAGTTTTAATTATGTTGGTGGCTAGCATTGAGTTGTTCTGGAACAGCGCTGTCTTGGGATATGGAGCCCAGCCTGGAGGGCCCTTTCTCCAAGTGCACCAGTCACCCTATTTGTGCCACACTTTGGGGGATTGTTCACGCATTCCCCCAGGCCCACGCTCCATGTCTTTTGAGTTTCCCTCTCTGCCAGGCCCTGCCCTAGACACAGAAGAGACGGAGACACACACTCCTACAGCTGCAGCCCAAGAGCACATTTGCTCTTTTAGTAGCAGTTCCATGTTGATGGCTTGTGTGCCTTTGTGCTAACCCTCCCAGCCTGATGGAGGTGGCTCGCCAGGTCCCTGCAACAGAGAGTGCCTTGTCCACTAACCACGGCTACCCCCTCAGCACTCACTGGCATACAGTGTTAGGATGGGACCACTGCAGGGTGGGATTGACAGGAGTATCTGAGATGACTCCTCTGGAACAAGGCACATGGGACCTGAACCAGGCATGGAATGTAGCCAACCTTCTGGAGATGTAAAGCCGCTTGTGCGTAGGTCTGCTTGGTAAAATATTGTTGAGCCCTGTGTTGGATGCTGGACATCGAGAGGTGACTGAAAGCCCTGCCCTGCCCTGCCCTCCAGGAGCCCGCAGTAGTCTGGGAGGGAAGAGGATGCACAGGTTGCACGCCTCACTGTAATCACGTGGATGTTTACAGACATAAAGTGAGAATCGATGGGAAGCATAACTGCAACATTTGGTCCTGGCTGCTTCCAGTTCTGCAATAACCAGATCCAGGGAGTGTTGGGAGCCTTAGGGGTCCCCTTTCAAGAGCCCAGGGGCCATCAGCTATCACGCTGCTGTCAGATAAGACACACACAGGGCGCTCAGGCTGCCCACAGTACACACACTCCCACGCAGCCTGCTCCCAGAGCACCTGGGGGTGGTGAGAGGGCTCAGCCATGATTCCTTGAAAAGCAAAGGACCCGTCCCTAAGCCTAGGCCTGGAAGGAGCCACAGTTTTCATTGACAGTTGGAAGACAAGTGTCCCATTGAGGCTATTTCCTTGAATTTTTTCACATCTCATTTTAAAAATTGAGGTTAATACAGGTCTGTGGCCTTTTCTCCCTTGAGAAGAGCAGTCACCGCAAGTCTAGCTTTTAGAAGAGACAGTTGCGTGTGTACTGGGCTGGCACACCAGTGCTTCCGCCAGCTTGGCTCAGCACAGGCTTGTTTATCTCTTCTTTACCCCTGCTGTTGCTTACCTTAGCACCCTGCTGGTGCGAACTCTGGCTAATGCAGTGACACCTCATTAACGAATTGCCTTCGTACAAAGTCAGCCTTTTTGGAAAACAAACAAAAACAAACTCGATCCATCACCTTGTATTTGCAGCCTGTGACAAAGTAGCTCCCTGTAGTCATTCTGCTTGTTTGTCTTTGCTAGAGTGCAAGGGAAGAAGGAGAGCAGTCTGTCCCAAAGAGAGTTGAGGAGTCTTTCTGCCATCACCCTCCCCCTTTCCCAAGGGGCTCCCCTCTCCTCCTGGCAGGAAGTCCAGGCCATGCCACCCCTAACCCGGCAGCACGCACGCAAACAGACACAATGAACTCACGCATATTTACACCTCCTGCATCCTTACCTGTGGTTAACAAGGTTCTGAAAAAAAGTGTGGTTTATTCCTCATAGTTAAAACCTAGGGTTTACCATAGACCCTGACTGGAATAAAAGAGTCGTCTTTCCTCCATCATTCCTTACCCTTTTTATTCTCTTCTCCCTCATTTTCCCTTTGAGTTTTATATTTTATCCCCGATCTTTCTTCAAAGTACAACCGGCTAAATGAGATAGCGTATTAGTTTCCTGTTGCTGCTATAACAAATTACCATGTACTTAGTGGCTTATAACAACAGAAATATATTTGCTGACAGGGCTGGAGATCAGAAGTCCACAAAGGGTCTTACTGGGGGGGAGGGAGGGAAGGGATTTAGAGGTGGACCTGGCACAGATAACTAGACTAAGATCTGAGTGCTTTGACCCTCTCCTCCCTTTACCTATAAAAGTCCTGCCTATCTTCACAGCTCACATGCCGCCGCCTCCGTGAAACTGCTCCTCATTTCCTTAATCTAAATCTAAGTTGCCTTTTGTCGTCTCCCATAACATTGGATTTCTTTTTCTGAAATAACGTCTTTACTTGCTTCGTGTATTATGGTTTAATTGATACATATCTGTTTTTATCAATACAAGTCCATTTCAGATGAGTGATGTATCAGAATCAGCTCTGGAACTGTACAAAATGTAAACACTTAGGCCTTGTCCCAGTCATACTTAATCTGATACAGCGCATAGATCTTGCTCAGTATTCTTACTACCTTAATTTAAATTGTGGAGCAGCATTTGGCATTATTTATGTTGTAGGACTGAGGGGCATTGGAAGTACCAGGATTGCTTTATATAATGATAATCAGCACTGAATTAAAAGCTGTTTTCAGGAAGCCTTAACAAATTTTTTCCTTCTCTTTCCTTTTCAAATGGCTGTTTCCTGATCCATCGTTCTTGCTCCAGGATTTGCGCAAGCAGGTAGCACCACTGCTGAAGAGTTTCCAAGGCGAGGTGAGCTTTTACATTTAATCTATATCCTGAGCAACCCTTCCTAGTTAATAGATCTTTCTTTTTATTCACGTTAAAAAAAAAAGGCCATTGGCCCAAGCTGCTTACCCAGGTGGAGCCATTCGGGCTGCACCTCCAGGGCCAAGCAGATGTGGAGTTTTACAGTGTTATTTTCACTGAGTCCTCAGTCAAAGCCGTAATGGAAGGAGGAACGATATTCAGAATGTAAGAAGGTGTAGTGGATTCAGTGGAGAAGTGCCCGGTGTGGTTGGCCTTCCCACGATGGAGTGTACAGACCTCCTCATGCTCAGCTGGGGAGCCGTCTTCTTCCCTGAGCTAGTCTGGTGCTTCATGGCCTGGACTGTGGAGAAGATGGAATGGAGCCGTCTGGTGTTTTTATGAGAGACGCTGTAGGTGGGAAAAGGAGGTTTACTTGGCCCAAGGCTTGGAACAAAGAGCAACAGGCAGAAGCCACGAGGAGTAAGTTTGGGTTCAGTATAGGGAAATTTTCTACTAGCTTCTTGCAGAGAAGGATTGAGCTCTCTATCAAGATGATGGTAGGGTGGCAAGTCAGCTGAGGCATCCACCATGGCTACCTGTCCTTGGGAATAGTATCTACAAAGAGAACTGGGGACGAATGTAGGTGACATCAAGCTCCTTTTCAACCTTCTGTGAAGAGATGCAGTAAATTTTAGAAAACCAGGAATTTTGTTGTTGGTGGTGAGTTATTCACTCTCACCTCTAGCTTCTCCCATTAGAATATGGAAGTAATGAAAAATACCAAGCTGATGAGGACAGGGAGAAGGGTTTTTAAAAAGCCCTTTAAAGAAGTCATATTGGTACGGTCTTAGGAATTATATTTTTGTCCAACTACCCAATTCACAGGAATCACAGAACATGGAGGAAGGGAAAGGATTAAGGGAAATGAGGTGGTAGATTCAGTTGGAGGTGCCAGTGATGTGAAGGGTGGGCAAGGTGGATGCCTTTAGTGACATAGCCTGGAGTGAGAGGTTAGGCTACTGTTTGGCACATTCCTCAGCATGCGGGTGATAGCAGAGGGTAAGGAGATGAATGAAGGTAGTTATGAAGACCATGGTAGGAGGCCAGAGAGGGGATCCTAAGGCATTTAAGGAACCTGTGTAGAAAGAAAATCTAGCAATGACTGTTGTTGATAATTACTGAAGATTTTAACCAGTAGCCGTTGAATCAATTCCAACTCCTGGCGACCCCATGTGTTTCAGAATAGAACTGCTCCCCATAGGGTTTTCAGTGGCTGTGTTCTTTTGGAAGTAGATTACCAGGCCTTTCATCTGAGGCACCTCTGGGTGAATTCAAACTGCGAACATTTTGCTTAGTAGCCAAGTGCTTAACCATTTGCGCTGTCCAGGGGACTTCCTGAAGATTTTAGAAGGGTAGAATAAAAAGCAAAAGCAAACCCATTGCCATCAAGTCATTATGATTCCACCTCATAATGACCCTATAGGACAGAGAAGAACTGCCCCATAGGGTTTCTGAGGCTGTAATCTTTATGGAAGCAGACTGCCACATCTTTCTCCCGTGGAGTAGCCAGTGGGTTCAAACTGCTGACCTTTCAGTTAGCAGCAGAGCACTTTACCACTGGGCCACCAGGGCCACTTGAAGGGTAGAATAGTGCCCTTATTTTGGTTTGTTTGTTTCTCATAGCCTGCTTGGTGATGCCTGGATGTCCTCAGCCTGGTAAGGCACAGAAGCATAGTGACATCAGATCTTTGAAGGACTTGACTAGTCTTTTCCTCAGAGTTCTATCTCCAAACCTTCATTTTATGAGTAAAACTGTTACCTTACACTTACCCACATTTAATCTTATCTGTTCTTTTACCTGTTCAGCAGCCTTGTGAGACCTTTGGCTTTGTATTTCTTTGGCTGAAATAGCTCAACGTACTTTTTTTATGTGCTTTTTTGTTTAATCCTTGAAAATTTTCAAATATACATAAAAAGTAGAAAACTCAGTACAAGGAACACCTGTAAACTGTCACCTATTTTCGCCACTTGTTAATGTTTTGCTACAATGTTCCTCCACCCTTTTGCTGACCAGTGGAAGGTAACTTGCAGGCTCCATGGCACTGTACCTTAAATATACACATGGATCTTCCAAGAGTAAGGACATTCCCCAACATCACCACAATAACCACAAGCATCACATCTGAGAAAATTAACAGCCATTCCATGATATCTAAAAGTTGGTCCAAAATCAAATTTCCCCAGTTATCCCCCAAATCTCTATTATAACTGCCCTTCCCCCAACCGGGATCCAGTCAGGTTCATGCAGCACATCTGGTTATATCTCTCTTCAGTTATTTTAATGTAGAACATTCTCTCCACCTCCAGCACTTTTGTTTTTAATTGTTATGACATTGACTTTTTGGAAGAATCTAGCTCACTGTCTTTTTGTTGTTGTTGTTGTTGAGAATATACACAGCAAAATACACACCAATTCAAATTTCCACATGTACCATTTAGTGCCATTGATTTCATTCTTTAAGTTGTACAACCCTTCTCACCCTCCTTTTCTGAGTTGTTCCTCCGCATTAACATTAATTCACTGCCCCCTAAGGTTCCTGTCTAAACCTTCCAGTTGCTGTTGTCGCTTTGATTGCATATAGATAGTTCTTAAAAAAGCATACTGCTCAAGGCAGAAATTTTTTATTAGTTAAGGTAAACTGCTGTTTGGTTTTGAGAAGACTTTAGTGGATACTTTTAGTTTAATGTTTAAAGATAATCTCAGGGCACTAATTTCAGGAGTTCATACAACCTTTATGGCTCCAGGAAATCAGGTGTCTAAGAGAATTGAAATTCTGTTCTGCATTTTCCCTCTTTTGATCAGGATTCTTCTGTAGACTCTTTGATCAAAAGGTTTAGTAATGGTGGCTGGGCGCCACATAGGAGGCTGTTGTTCATGGAGGCAATTAGCCACACATTCCATTTCCTCTGATTCCTGATGCCCTTTCTTCCTCTGTTGCTTCAGGCAAATAGAGAACAATTGTTGTACCTCTGGAGGCCACTTGGAAACTTTTAAGACCCCAAGCACTAAACAACAAAGTAGGAGGTAGAACAGAAGCACTAAACATGTTATTAGGCCAATTAACTGAGATGACTGGTGAAACCATGACCCTAAGTCTCCAAACCAAGAAACCAAATCCCACGAAGCTTTTGTTTGTACATAATCAGCCTTAGCAGCTACTTTTTTTTTGGTCATGTTGTAAATATATCTATCACACAACTTTTGCCAGTTCAACTTTTTACACTTATACAACTTATTGACAGCAGTTACAATAATTGGCTGTGTTACCCTACCCTTTATCAATGCAATATTTCCATCACCAGTAACCCCCGCATTTTCCCTTCCCTCCCTCCGGTGGTAACCACTAATAAACTGTGTTCCGTGTATATACATTTGCCTGTTCTTGTCTTTTTATATAAGTGAGGTCATACGATATTTGTCCTTTTGTGATTGACTTACTTCACTCAGCATGTCTTCCAGCTCCGTCCCTATTGTGGCATGTATCAAGACTTCATGTCTCCTACTGGCTGAGTAGTATTCCGTTGTATGTATGTACCACATTTTGTTTATCTATTCATCTGTTGATGGGCATTTAGATTGTTTCTACCTTTTGGCTATTGTGAATAGTGCTGCAATGAACATTGGTGTACATGTCTCTGAGTCTCTGCTTTCAGGTCTTTTGGGTATATACCTAGGAGTGGACTTGCTGGGTCATACGGTAGTTCTACTTTTAGTTTTTCGAGGAGCTGCACGGCTGTACCATTTTGCATTCCCACCAGCAATGGGCGAGGGATGAAGTTTCCCCACATCCTTGACAACGTTTGTTATTTTCTGGGGTTTTTTTTTTTTTTTTTAAGTTTTATCTTAGCCATCCTCAAAAAAAACCAAACCTGTTGCTGTCTAGTCGATTCCGACTGACTCATTGTGACTCTGGGAGTGAAATGGAATCTCATTGTGGTTTTGATTTGCATCTCTCTGATGGCTAATGATGCTGAGCATCTTTTCATGTGTTTGGTGGCCTTTGAATATCCTCTTCGGTGAAATGTCTCTTCAAGTCCTTTGCCTATTTTATAATTAGGTTATATGTGTTTTTGTTAAGTTGTTAACATTTCATATGTATTTTAGTGATTAGATTCTTGCCAGATATATGGTTTCCAAAGATATTCTCCAAGTTGTTAGCTTGTCTCTTCACTTTTTTGATAAAGTCTTTGGTTGAACAGAAGTTTTTAATTTTTATGAGGTCCCATGTATTTATTTTGTCTTTTGCTGTTTGAACCTTTGTTTTTGTATTAGATTATCCGTTGTTAAAACCTAGGCCTGACAGCATTTCTCCTGCTTTTTCTTCTAAGAATTTTATGGTTTTAGTTTGCACATTTAGGTCCTTAATCCATTGTAAATTTGTTTTGTGCATGGTGTGAGGCATGGATTCTGTTTCATTTTTCTGCATGTGGAAATCCAATTTTCCCAGAACCATTTATTGAAAAGACTCTTCTTTCCCTGTTTAATGGACTTAGCACCCTTGTCAAAAATCAGTTGACCATAGATGTGTGGGTTTATTTCTGGACTCTCAATTCAATTCCATTGGTCTGTGTGTCTGTTGTTATACCATTACTAGACTGCATTGATTACTGTAGCTGCATACCCAGACCTGTTGCCATCGAGTTGATTCCAACCCACAGCGACCCTATAGGACAGAGAAGAATTGCTTCACTGCATAGTATGTTTTAAAATCAGGAAGTGTGAATCCTGCTACTTTGTTCTTCTCTTTCAACATTGCTTTAGCTATTTGGGACCTCTTGCCATTTCATATAAAGTTCAGGATTGGTTTTTCTGTTTCTGTTAAGAGACTGTTGGAGTTCTGATCGAGATTGCATTGAATCTATAGATTGCTTTGGGTAGTATTGACATCTTAACAATATTACGTCTTCTAATCCATAAACATGGAAATTCTTTCCGTTTATTT